CACGTGCCCTCTTGCACTCCTAAACCGGAGGCTGCCGCTGTGCAAGTGCCCGCCCGCAGTCCTAGACCTCAGAGAGCCAGGAAACCCCTAGACCGACTGGAGTATTATTAAGGGGGGAGGTGTGTTGTGTATGTGATTAGATGAAGATTATTTGAATTCTTTAAAGTCTCATTATGTAAGAATATATGTGTATATAAATTGGACATTTTTTGTTGGCCAAACGAAAAGAATATGAGGCTCTTTATTGGACACGACAAAAACAACAACGGCATTCCAGAGTAAAATAAATCATCAGAGATAGATAAATATTTTTCAAATGAATTAAAATAAATATAATCGATACTGAGAGAGAGTTGAATTTAAAAAATAGAAAATTATTATTTTCGAAATATAAATAGCTGAGAGGATTCCAGCAAACCGCATCGAAAATATCAGATTTTTTTTTTTGCTACATGTTTTAATTTGCATATACCTATTTTACATATCTCAGATTGTATTTAAAAATCGTTAACCATTTCTTCTAACTTTTGGCGAAATGGTGTTTTATTAATTTGTCATTTGATATTATTAGGGTTCTTTCCTGGTATTCAAAAAGTAAAAATACGTGTCGTTCAGTTATATTTTTCAATTTATCAAACAATTTGGCCGCTGAATCGCTGATTCTGGTAGGGCGCCATCTAGCGAATAAAGTGGTAACTAAAATCAATTTCGAATTTTTCATTATTTGCCATAAAAAATCCCATTGCATCCTGAACACAATGGTGTTTACCGCATTGCTCTAGCGCAAATATTCGCGGAGTTATTAATTTTTAAAGTTGTGCGGGACTTTTGGATCACCCTGTATATAAATTCCTTGTTGTTGTCTACCTCTTGGAATGTTTGGGAGCCTCAAGACAGAACTTATATTCCAATCCTACCAAGATTATAAATATAATTCTTGAATTTAGTCTCCATGACCTTGTATAATTATTATACACTGCGTGACATTGAAAATGGAACACCAAGAAATAGTGGCCAGAAAATTATGCAAATTTCAGGGTAGACGCGCCTAACCGAGTTATGCAAATGATGTAAAATGCGCAGCTCTCGTGCGCACATGGAGTAAAATATAAGGGAAGGAACTTGCCGAAAGGACAGTATTCGTGTCGTTATTTCTTCATGGAAAATCATTGTAGAATTTTTTTTCTTGTGTCAAAAGACACGTGTAATAACAGAGAATGCCAGGTCATCGTAAACGGAGGCAGTTCAAGCAGACAGACGCTTTTACGAGGGGCATGGTGATCGGACTGAAAAGGGCAGGTTGGTCCATACGTCAAATCGCAGCTGATACACACCTTGGTGCGTCCACGGTGCACCGACTGTGGAGAAGATGGTTGGAACAAGGAAATGTGGCAATTTATAGGAATGCCGGTGCAACCAGAGTGACGTCAGCACGTGTGGATCGGCGTATCCTTCGACAAGCAGTGGCGGCCCCACAAGCCACTTGTACCGCCATCCTGCAACATGTGCAAGACACCCTAGATCATTCCATCTCGACCAGAACCATTTCCCGTCGATTGGTTGCTAATGGCTTGCACTCATGCCGTCCGCTAAGAAGACTGCCATTGACCCCACCGAATAGGCGCCAACGTTTGGAATGATGCCGGGCTAGATCGACGTGGATGACGGAATGGCACAGGGTCGTGTTCTCAGATGAGTCGCGTTTCTGCTTGTCCAGTGATAGTCGCCGTGTACGCGTGTGGCGTCGACGTGGAGAAAGGTCCAATCCGGCAGCAATTGTGGAACGCCCCACCGTGCGACAACGTGGAATCATGGTTTGGGGCGCAATCGCGTATGATTCCAGGTCACCTTTACTTCGTATTCAGGGCACTATGACGGCCCAACGATACGTTGATGATGTGCTGCGACCGGTGACACTCCCCTACCTTCAGGGGTTACCCAATGCCCTTTATCAGCAGGATAACGCCCGACCGCACACTGCTCGCATTAGCCAACAAGCTCTGCAAGATGTACAGATGCTTCCCTGGCCACCATACTCTCCTGATCTCTCACCAATCGAGCACGTCTGGGACATCATTGGACGCCGTTTGCATGCCTTGCCACAGCCGCGTTCAGAAGACGAACTGTGGCAAATGGTTGAGAGGGAATGGAGAGCCATCCCTCAGGACGCCATCCGTACTCTGATTAACTCTCTACCTAGACGTGTTGCTGCGTGCATCGCCGTCCGCGGTGGTCCTACTTGCTACTAAGCCGACGCCGTTCTCGCTCTGTATTATGACTATCATTTTGAAATAAAGATCACTTATTGTTCGTCCCTGTCTCTCTCTGTCTGCCGAGTTTCATCACTTTCTGGCCACTATTTCTTGGTGTTCCATTTTCAATGTCACGCAGTGTACAATAGGATATTTAAAAAGGGGTTGTTGTTTTCTTTTGGCAGACTCAAATCTTTTTGTCTTAAGTATTTTATTTTATTTATTTTTCACGCCTCAAGTCAGGTAATTCTTCCTAAATTGTTTCATCACCTCAATTTGTGATAGTGTCTTGTCCACTCCATGGAAAGAGGGATGCAATTGCCCCGTTAGTCAGCCACATTTCAAAGTTCCCTGTTCACGGTTACCGTAACGGCTCGGGGCTCACGACACCTTACTTCGCCCTACAGGGCAGTCCATTACTTGTGCTGCTTCTCCCGCCCGCCACGTAGAGGAGGGGTTGAACTACTGGGGGCAGGTATCAGCACAATTAAAACAAATTATGAACTAAATTGTTTTAATTATATTTTCAAGATGAAACGACTGCATATCATTGTCAAAATGCTCATATGTATTCAAAACCAATCAAATAATTTCTCTCAACAATATTCATTATAACATATATATAATATTATGGGGTAATCAATTTTTCGACCTCGTATAGAATTAAGTGACTGAAATGAGCGCATAAAGGTCGGTTTACCTACAAACACCTTCACACCTCGGCCCAATATATCGCTTGGAAGAAATCAGACCCCATTGACAACTAAATACATTAAATTTCTACGTTGGTTCTACGGGATTATAAATTAAACTAGCGAAACCGCTGAGATGGTTCACCACTGATGAGCCAGGCCCGACCAATATACTTTTCTACCATAGAAAGACAGTAGAAAATTGTTTTATTTGTAAAAAAGTGGCAGTAAATTGTTTCATTTTTCATGCACACGGCAAAGATTGAGTTCTCCTACAAAATAAATAACTTTTAAACTAAGAAGCCAATCTTCATATATATTTTTATCCTAACATATTTCGATATTGTTTTTATCATTATTCAATAAACACACGACGCTTTCATAACTCGTAAAATGACTATTTATTTTACATTTTCTCCACTGTTTGTTATTCAAATTACATATAGTGGCTCCCAAGAATATGGTAGAGAGTTAATAATTCGCCATTATTTAGCCATTTGAAATTAAAAAATCGAAAATTTTGTAAATGTATTTTATGAAAGCAAAACTTGGCTACAAATTAAATTTAAATATAGAATTCGATTGTCTATACATCATCCATCTTCGTTATATTCAAGTTGGTATTGAAATTATTTTGTTTAAATCGCATTTAGCTTCGTGCGCACAATACTGAACCAAGTTGAAATTTTATTGACGGAGTTGTCGCCAGAAAACTTACCGAATATTCAAAAAGAAGTAAATTGTAGATAGTCATTTTATTTTTTATTGCATATATGCAAGTTGAGAATATTCTATTCCTTTCTTCAGGAAAACCATATCAAAATCTTCAGTGAGGGGAATATAGTATGCCATCTTGTGGCGCAAAGAAAAATAGAAATTTAAATATCTCATTACAACTATAAGTGTCAGTATATTTAACGAAGAAAAAGAGACGTTCTTCTCAAAAGTAAACGACAGCCAACTTACCTCAGTGCAAAGTATCTTAACCAGCGCCATATCAAGTCGAATGGTTGCTCTGTTCCTATATACTTCTACAAAGCAATAAGTAGGAAAAATAACTTAGATTTATTGTGTTCTCCTCCACTACATAATGGTGATTGATCATTGTGAGGATATCGTTGCAAACCGGCAATGAGAGATGTGAATCTGTATAAGACTGATGTCTTGATAAAGGCTTTGTGTGTGTGAATATATGCAAGTATCATAGGTTAAGACTATTACTTGGAGACAAAATTTTTATCATTAATCCATTACAAAAGAACTTTTCAATCCGAAACCAAAACCAAACTGACACTAATGAAAGAACTTAAGAAAGTTAAACCTTTTTTTGAATATATATCGTGATTCAGATAAGAACTCTGAAAGATATTTGGTACACCGTGACACACATGAGATAACCAAATGTGAACAAAATTGCCTCCGTCTCCTTAATAAAAATAGACGACCGGCGAAATCAAAGACCCTCCACTTCCTTAAGTTTAAGTTTTGTCCATAAGTGTGATATATACAATGTTATGTAAATATTCCAAGCCATTTAAATAGGAGAAAATGCAAAAATTCTGGAGAGAAAATACCAAAATG